CTCGAGAAGGCTTAGTCAGAGCCTTTGTATTTGAATATTGCTGTCTAGGATCACCATTTATACGATTGCCGGACTCGAGCCTACGCGGATACCGATCCGGACTCGATGAGATTTCGCTTACAACCGGATATTGCCGAGCTCAAAGGGGACTCGTTCAGGAACTGCTCAGCGAAAGGCGAAAGGAAACGTGGGAGGAGAAAGGAGGGGAATGCGCGCGAATTCGTCCTTAAGTAATCGTCGGCCCTTCGACGGAGGTATTCGCGATGAAGAAAGGGACGGGGCGAGGTGCAAACGACGCGGCGGAGAACCGAGGTATGCCGGGGACTCGATTAAATGATTAAACGAGCCCCCGAGGCGCCATATTAAACTCGCCGTTATTCCTCCGGTGCCTTCTTGGGAGTCGTCTCACCCTCGGCAGTCTCCCTCTTCGCAGTCCGGGGCAGTTCTTTCCATTTTTCCATTCATTCCTCGGGCCTCTCCTTCGCGTCCCCCAACAATGTCACTGTCTATTATCGCGGTACAATTCGAGAAAGAACAAAAACAGATTTCGATTACGCCGATTGCAATGAATTCTGATGAACCGGTTTTCTTTTCTGAAGCGGAGAAAAGGTGGGAGGGTGTAAAGAACGTCTCTCGTAAATCTCTCGCTATATCGCTCCATCGTTTGGCCAAAGTATCCCGGGGTAAATATACGCCCGAATCTTGGAATATGTTAATCAAGAGTGATTTTAACAAGGGGGAGCGAAATATATACTTTAGTAGGAATATCTCTGTCCCATATCAACTCCACGAGGTTTCATGGAAATGGAACAAAGATATCTCTCGTGATCTCTCGTTATCGCGCGTTATAAAATATCAACGGTTTAGATTTATTAAATGTTTCACATATACGTTGTATATTTTCTCTGACGTGTATTGTTTTAATTTTATATTCCTCGTGTTACTGTTCGATTGTACACTCGGCAACAATGTATGTTTTGTATACAGGATTGATGTGCTTTCATTATAACCGTGTAATAAAATATATATCGTTAAAATTTCACGATGTACATAATTTCATGTTTGTATGCAGATTCGAAAACGTCAGCGGAGTGGGAGGGGTGGGTGGGGGGGGGGGAGGACGCTTTATCGCAAAATAGCACGAAATAAAAGCATCCCCGATAACCGCTGAAAAAAATTATCGCGAGGTGGGCGCCCATCGGCCCGGGATATACATATTTTTCGGTCGAGACTCGCGCGATTAGATCACCTAGATTGTTTTAACGTCAACAGAAGAAGCGGATCGGCTTTTTGCAAAGGGTTCGGGGTAGGTGCAGCCGTTGAAGCGTCGCGGCCGGCCCGCATTTGCATATAAACGAGAATTCACCGTGGTAACGCTGAAACGCGCCATTTTTATCATTATACCAATTAGGTCGTCACGTTGCGCGTACTACAAATTTCCACCGGTTATTTTTCTCCTCGCCGATGCACGCGCCCGTCCCGGTAGCCCTCCGCCGTCTTTGTCGGATCACCTGCAAGATCACCGGCCGGATCCTGCATCGAATTTCGGACACGCCTGCCTATCTTTTTTTTTCTTGTTTTTTTTTTCCGTTCGGCTTTTGGATTCGGGCTTTTCGCAGGCGGCATTCGATGCCCCGCGATTAAACGGCCCCGCGTAATATTTTTTTTTTCCACGCCATAACCATCGAACCAGTCGTCTCATACAGAGGGATTGAAAGGCGCGCGCTCTCTCTCTTTCTCTCTCGCGTTTCCCGCCCTTTTCTCACCGACCCGCAGTGTTATCCGTGTTTTATGAAATGGCTCTCTCTTCCCCTCCCCCGATCAGCCCTCCCGTTTCCTCTCCGCTTTCATAAATCATTTATGTCGCAAAGGCAACTGACGTTCGATTGCGCGTATCGTTCGTTAAGTCGGTTTAATCTCGTTAGAGGCGACGAAGAGAGCGCGGAAATAATTGACCGCTGTTAATACGACCCATTACTGGAGGGCTTTGCACATTGACGTCACGTTAATACGACGACGTTTGTAATTGCAATAATAAGGAAGAGCGATATCAAACGCGCGGGTCAAACGCTTCGAGAGCGAAGCGCTTCGAGCAAGCCCCCACCGACGTGGCTCCCCGAGATTCTCCGATTGTTATTTGAAACGTTTCCAGTTTTCAATATCAAATCGATCTCGACCGACGTAATTGCCAATCTTCGTCGCAGTTAGCGGAAGACGGGGACACGTCCTGCTCCGGAAAGCTCGATACGGGAAAGCCGATCGAAGATGCATCGCCGGTGCTACCGACATTCAACAGCGCCCAGACCCTTCCGGCTCGATGACGTTTGACAGCTCGTTAGCTCGTTTCCCCGACGAGGGAAATCGCGGTCAGGACTGTCCATTGTTCCCGTCAGAACCCGGTGGGTGCACGATTTTCTGCGCGCATATTTCGAGGTTCGACCTGTCCCCCCTCCCCCTCTCTTTCTCCCTCTCTCCCTCTCTCTTCTCTCGTCTCTCTTGTCCTTCTGCCCTCATTATCTGGCAGAGTAGAAATGAATCTCTCTTTTGTGGCCAGGATGTCTGGCGAATCGCCAGGATTAATTATAGTACTCGGATAGCCTGTTCGCGGACTGTTGTACTCCGTTCCTGGACTTTCAATTTGCATCCTCGCGTATTGATGCGGACACATTTTTTGCGAAATTTAAGGAAAGTTGTAGGAAAGCTTAGTTAAGGATGTTTTGTACCTATTTTCAAAATATTGAGAATTTAATGAAAATTGTACAGAATGTCCTTACATATGTTTAAAATCTTTAGTACAATTTTTAAATTGATTCACTGAAGCGTTCACAAGTTATAAGCATTTTAATTTGCGAATTAACATGTGTTCTTATGGGAAATAATCACGTCGATTCAAATAAAAAAAACACATGGAAATAATATTCAGAAATAATATTCATTGTTTAAAATTTACAAAAGTTTAGATACAGAGGAAATATTTGGTCAAATAATATTATACAAGTACTAACTGGTTAAAAAGATATTAAATATGATTCAATGAAGTTAGCCATGTATCTGTCACAAGGCGAAATTCTCTGCCAAAAGTTAATCATTTCGATTAACAAAATTCGGAATATTTCAATAAAAACGCAATAAATATTAAAAAATACATCTCTAATATTCCACACAATTTCTCATATTCAAAATAAACCAAAAGTAAATATTTGTCAATATTGATTTTCAGCTACTTTTTGCTGGGATTGTGCATACAAAACATCCTTAAGGAAAATACAGAATGAAATAATTCCGTAAATCAAATATTCAAAATTAGTCGAGAAAACTAAGATCTTAATTAATTTTATTATTTTCGGTATCTGTTTATAAAAATGTGCATCTCTCCAAATTCATAAGGACATTCCCCGTATTCGATGAAACATAATTTAATGATTCGTCGTGTAACGTTACGAAAATATGGAACAAGTAAAAGAGAAGATATGGAGATTTGAAAAATCGAAATTCAATGCATAATGCATTAAGCTATGATCCACAATTGTATTTACAGATCTCATCCATAGTCGAATTTAACGTACGGACACGAACGAATAATGAGGTATACATATGTTTTGCAAAATTGACCACGTTTTATGCGGCCGTATATTAATATCGCGGACAATTTTGTTTCTTTGGACACGAATATATGTTGAATAAGTATTGATTAATCGACCGTGACTCGTCATCGCGTTAATTTATCGACGGGACAATTATTTCTTCGGCGAGCGAAAACGAGCTGACACAGCAATCTCGAGGGCAAAATAAACCGGCTGAAATGCACAGCGGCGAAAAGAACAGATATCGGTATTCCGATAGCCGTCCAAAGGAAAAGGCAGGTGTTCTCGGGAGGCAGCTGCAATCACGACCACCATCTGCTGCGGTAATGCACGCCCGTTCGAAGGTTTGAAGCGAAGTGAGAGGCCCAAAAGCCCTGCCAATTAAGGCCCAGCCGAAACACGTGCCCGATACGGATGAGGCGATTTCGAGGAGACGTGATTCTCCTTGGAAACCCTTGGCTGTCCCTCCCTTCATCTGCGTTTTTCCCTCCTTTTTTTTCGGTCTCTTTGCTTTCTTTCCATTTTTTTTGCCGCGCTTGCTTGGCTGCGCGCACGCCCGCCGCAGCTTCGAATCATCTTTCAACAACAACTTGTTGAGCAACAGTTGGTCGGCACGAGACAACGCATCAGATTAAGAGAAAAAAATCAAGAAAGAGCGAAGAATTGAGATATTTATGCATGAATAATTATGCATGAAAGGTGCAAGCTACTACTGTTTTTAAAAAATTACTATTGATGGGAGCCAGTTATCACAGGAGGAATTCCATGTGTAATAGATCTATCTTGAGTATTTTTTTAAGACTTCAGATTGATAAATTTATATCTTGAAATGTGAGTTCAGTTTCAAATTTTGGTGTAATATAAGAGAATTGTGCTTCATAAAAATGTACATTTTTAAAAGAAAACTTTTATTTTAAAATTCATATAGATTATTTTTTTATTTATAGTTTTCTTTACGGGCAAATTATTACTATTTTTTAAGTAATTTATACCTGAAATAATTGCACCGATATCAAGAGAAAATGGATTTCGTATGCGAGATACCACGAGCGAAATCTTGCGGCAAACGGGACAAGTTTCTATCATAAAATGTTAGTAATTTAAAATTCGATAAGATATTCTGATATATGTTTACATACATCTTCTGTTTCAAATTCTGATCTCTGCAAAATAATTATTGAAATATCAGAGATGATTTTTTATAAATACATCACAATACATTATTATTAAAATGAAAATAAGAAAAATATATAAATACATATATATATATTTTATATATGTATAAAAGTTGTACATAAAATATATAATTAATTATTAATGTAGATTTATATCTTAATATGTGTGTAAATAGGAGAAAGAGAGAACACTGTTAAAATACTTTTATCAACTTTAATTTAAAAACTAAAAATTTATGAATACAATTTAATCTTAGGAAAATGAACTATTTTAAACAATACAAATATGCGAAGAATATAATCATAGCATATTTGTAGAAATTATATCACTTGAACATCGCCGAATGAATGCTGCCTTCTAATATCATAGTCATAAAACTTGCATAAAGAAAGAGATGTACTTCAGTATTAAATGATAAAATATATCAATGGTATAAAAAAACAATCAATTATGTAATATTTTACAAAATACAAATTATATTTGCAATCTTTTATCTATAATCATTTATGCTTCTAATCTTTCGTACATTTAATAACAATGAAATAATTTTGTGTAATTTATTCAAATATATATCATAATTCATGAAATGAAATTTAAATCGATTTAAAGATAAAATCAAAGTCATTAAAAAAATATATCGACGAAAATTTATTTTAATAACGACCAGATCGGCCATCCCTGCTTTTCTCGTCTCTTCCTTTACGCCGGTCTTTAGATCTCGATCTTCTGTCACGAGATCTGGATCTCCTTCTGCGATCGCGACCACGCGATCTCGAGCGCGATCTCGAGCGTCCTTTGCCCTTCTTTCGGCTGTACAAGTATCGACGAAGTTCCCGGGAGATGGGCTTCAAGTGCATGAAGTTACAAAATCCGGAGCGGGTACACTCGCTAAACATACACAATTCACAATATACGCTTTCATGTATATGCTACATATTATCTATCATACTTAATGATTGCGTTTTAATTGATAACTACCCCATTTCATACTGACGACAGCAAGCCTCACGGAAATCAGTAACGGGCGAGAGTTCAGCGTAAACTGGTCTGCCACCGAACCAACGATTGTTCAGATCGTTGACTGCCTTCTCCGCATCTTCCTCTCTGCGAAACTTGATGTAAACATTCCCAACTAGATGGTCACCGAGATTATCACACACATTCATCTCTTCGATCTCGCCATATTTGTCCTCGCATTCGATAAAAACATCCTCAAAAAAGTTATCATAATGCTCTTGCATCTCTTCGTCCGATACATTTGCAACCACTATTGTAAGATAAAAATAAAACGGAATGTTCTATACGATACGATTATCTTGGGCATGCATAATACATCTATAATGTTCTCGTTAAATTATTAATATATTTTTATCTCTCTTATATAATATATTTATATGTATAATATTTCATTAAAACTTAATGCAATGTACTTACGATGAGATCCATCTGCGCTTTTGGCAGAATTCTGAGGATTTACGTAAAGATTCTGCAGTAGACATGTCTGAAGAATACAGACTTGCATGAACGATATATCGCGAAATAATTATTACTGGATCATTTTGAACCATAAATAACTTGATCGCACCAGGGTACAAAATACAATCAAAGCAAAGATACTGATATATAAATTCAATTGCTCAAATATAAGAGGCTTTTGTATGAATGACATATTCAGCAAAAAAAATAATTCTTGCAGTCTTAATCGAGCAGATTAGGAGAAATATACTTTTTGCAAATGTATACCTTTTCAGATAAAAACATTGCAATGCGTAAATCATTGCGCAAGATATGCAAGTAAGTCTTACCTGACTAAAGGTCGGCTTGTTATGAATTCGCGAACAACGATCACCATGTCGACAGGCCCCAATCTTGAAATAAAACGAGCAATTGACCCTGGAAGAGGCGGAAGAAGCTCAAAGTTTACATTGCGATCATAACCTAAGAATCTAATCAAAAGTAAAATTATCATTATAAGTGGCATATTACTTACTTGTCCTTCTCGGTACCAAAAATTGACGCCAGATATTCAGCCATGGTGCGAAATTATCCGATTCGAGCGAGTCTCACAGTTTTGTATTACGAGAAAAGAGATTTTTTTTCTCGCTTTCACACAAAAACTCCGCAACATTTCGCGCACGACACGAGTAATGTCAGAAAACTGCTTTACCGACACTACGCTTGTCGATATTCTCCGATTAGTTCCTTATACGAAAAAAAAATTAAATTATAAAAAAATTAATAAATAAATGACAAAAATTTTAAATAATGATAATAGGTGCTCTCTATTTTTCTCCTCTCTCCTTCTCTCTCCTTCTCCTACCTCTTTCTTTATATATATTATATGTATATGTATAATGCTATAATTTATAGATAAACATATTATAATATGATATTATATTTTTATTATCGATATTTTCATAAAATCAAGATGGACTTGTGTCACTTAAATGAAAAACACCCAAAAATATAGAGTTTCCAGACTGAGAGAATAGTTGGACAATGGACTGCTTTATTCTTAATTGTCAGTCATAATAAAACGAAACAGAAAATACAGAGAAGAAACGATACAGAAAATGTTTATTGTATCTCTTAAATAAAAAATGAAAAACTTGAAATATTTTAAAGCGAAGTTTTCATTTTTTGAACACCTTATATTTTTAGACGCAGATGTGATTGTGTTTCTATTTGTATATATTCAATAAAATGATTTGACTAGAAAAAGTAAAATTGCATCTTTTCCATGTATTATTGTTGTATTTAAGAAAAAAATGAGATCAATGAAAGATAATTATTGTAATGTTATTCAACTTTTTTTCATTTTTTTATCATTTTTTTTTTTGCGTTATCAATCGTTCTCGAGAAAATCATAATGGATTATTATTCTGGATCTTTTGTGTATCAGGATGTATAAAATTAGTATACATTGCCAGAATTGAAAAGATTTATTAATTATTATACAATAATAAAAATGTTATAATGTAAATAATAAAATAGACATCATAAGAACTGCTTTTAATAACATTCAATAATATTATGCTTTTAATAACATTTATTTATTAAATAACATTCAATAATAATTTTATATCTAGAAAATTTTAATAACATTTTGTTTGAGACAAATGAAGTCACTAAAAATTAAATTTTATTACAAAATTTTCGTTAAAATCAATTATTATTACAAATTTTTTTGTCCCGTTGGTATCACGCCACTGTTCTCCAATTGTTCTTTTAAACGGAACTTCTGAATTTTTCCACTAGTGGTTTTTGGGTAGTCATCTACAAAATGCACATAACGCGGTATTTTGAAATGTGCTATTTTACCTTTACAATAATCTATCACTTCGTTCTGTGTCATTTTCGCATTGTCGCTAAGTTGAATGCACGCACAAATTTCATCTCCGTAAACTTCGTCATACGCTCCTATAACTTGTGCCTCTATTATTTTAGGATGAGTCATTAGAAAATCCTCAATTTCCTATAATAAAAAATAAAACGTACAATTAATATGAGTGAAATATATTGATTATTGCTTCAGAAAATGAAATATATTGATTCTTGCTTCAGAAAAGTGGCAATCAAAATCAAATCAAAATAATGATATCGTTAATAGCAAACAAAATAAATCTTTAAATTACATAAAGCCATATTTAGATAAATCATTAGATATATCTATTTATACTTGAACTATCATTTTTTTCGAAAAGAGTTTTTATCAAATATTTTTTCATTTTTATTATACATAATAACACGCATATTACTTGGATATAGCAAATACTGCGAATTAAATACTAATATATAATAATGATATTTATATAATTTTACCTTAGGGAAAATATTTTCTCCTCCCCGAATAAGCATGTCTTTTAATCTTCCGATTATCACGCCATATCCGTTTTCATGCAAGATGAATTGATCCCCAGTTTTCAACCAACCATCCTGCGTCAATGTCTTCCTTGTATTCTCTTCGTCATTCCAATAATTTAACATATTGGAATATCCGCGTACCCAAAGTTCGCCAGGTTTTCCGAAGGCAACAGGCAAACCATTTAGATCGACAACCTTTTCGTCAAATATATTAACAAAACTTTAAAAGCTCTAATGTAAATTTTTAAATAAAATATTGTATCGAAATTAAAAACGATATATATACCATTGCTTCAACATGATCTCCTAAATAACCCACGGTAGTCTCAGATAAGTACTTATCCTCTCCACGTATTGATTGAAATACTGCAGCTGTCTCTGTGAGACCGTATAGGCTCTGTGAATTATAATCGAAAATTTATTATAATAATAATCGGACTTTCCGAAGAGATCTGATTTGGGCGTGTTAAAATTGTTTTCCAGGGTTGTAATGTTGATCGCATGATGATAAACGAAAGATGTTATAAATAGCCTTGATTGTGAACTTACCATTAAATCATTAAAACCTAATAAATTTCGTATTCGTTTGATGAGTTCAGAAGACGCAGGTGCTCCCGCCATAAACCCTGCTTGAAGACTGTCCATAGGTAGTTGCAACCATCGTTGTGTCTTAAGTAAGTTCACCTGATAATAGAGCAAAATAAAATTCAATTTAATTAGGATATTAATTTTTATTATTTTTTGTCAGAATATTGGATTGAGATTCGCAAAAATTGAATATAATAATATACTAATAATAATATAAAAAATTTCAAATAAATTTTAAACAAGAAGCAATTGCAGCGCTCTGTTCAAAATTAATATTTCTATCAATTTGAAATCTTATCTTGCATAATTTCAGTAATTGTTATCGGATATTTTTATAAATCGCGAATAATTACATTGTAAAAAATGAAATTATTATAAAATGCTTGTAAAATTGCATGAACAATAAATGTAAAATTAAACAATAAATAATAAGGATGTTATATATTTTTATTATATTTATTGTGTAATTCGTTTTCGCTTTCTACTCTGAATGCATATTTTTCAAACAATCTAGCTAACCTTGTTTTTTGTCCTTGCTTACCCACATAGTTGGCGTTCCATATGTTACGGCACACTTTTCTTGCGCTATCGCCTTCAAAGATTTTATCGGATCAAAGGAACGTTCTTCTATAACGAGAGTGCTTCCAGTGTGCAAGATGAGTATATTAGCCATTATGAACCCAAAAGCATGAAAGAATGGTATATTTAAACATATTTTGTTTTCGGTATTGATTTTTGCTCTGCATGCATTCTGTCACATATAAAAATACAAAATATTTTTTTCAAAATATTAAATATAAATGTCAAATCTCTCATTCCAGATTAATTTTAAAACTTGAGATTTGCAAATTTATCGAGACATTTGGATTAAGCAGAAGTATCTAAGGAGAGATCTAAGAAATCATCGATTCCAAGAATAAGTGAGTAAAAGTTAATTATGTTGTTCTCGTTAATTATGTTGTCTCTTCTTTTCAAAAATAAAATATAATACAAGAATGTTTTGAATCAATTGATAAAATATAATGCTAGATTTTTTTAAATAACGAGAAACCTATAATTTAAATTGATTTATATAAGAGTACATTATTATTGGAAAAATGTCGTCATGTAATTATCTCAAAATTACATGTATAGAAAATAAAACAGATTAAGAATAAGCTAGTAACATAACAAATATTTATATACATATAAATGAAGAGGTCTCGAGATGGATTTAGTAAATAGAACACAATAAAATAAACAGATAGATAGAGAGAAAGAAAAGAATTAAGAACAAAATAGTCATTCTATTCCATTTTATGAGGAAATTAATTTTGTTGACAAAGAATTTGTTAATAAAAATTATTATATTTATATTAATTTAAATTAAAAAAGGGAATGAATTATGCTTTATGTCAGAATATATTTTTTCAAAATCTGACACAACGAATTATAAAGTGATTAATATATCTGATATTTACTCTTATCATTTTACCTCTTTGCTGTTATTTACAATACACCTATGCGAGAGGAGAGTGGCTTTGGCCTTGCCGGTGGAACCGGACGTAAATTGTATATTGCATCCGTCGTTGCAAGATATCTCAGCCTGCTCCGCGGCGATCGCATCCACTTCCGCTTTCGTTGCTGAAGCTTCAACATCAGCGAAACGATGAGTACCGCTATAAATTAAACTAATATTATTTATATCGTTTTTCCAATGATGTATTGTTTACGGGTGCGAATGAATAGAAGTCAGTGAAGCTATTAGTCTAATTTTGCCATGATTCTTCCATATGGCAAGAATTATTAATCAAGTCGATTGATTCGTAAAAGTAGGAGAACAATAGTACCAGGTAAATGCGCGGAATCCGCGGAACAAAACAAAGTATAAACTGAAAATACGTAAAAAGTTTTTATGAGAGTGTTTGTGAGATTGCTGATTAACATTCACCTCGATATCGAAATCATGTTACGCTTACTTACGCCATACTTCGTCTCACCCTTTTCAGCATTTTAAAGTCGTTTCATTCTTCATTTTTTTTTCGTGATCTTATATCGATATGCTATTTTTACGTCATCAAACAGGACTTTCGTATCTTAGTTGTTTATAAGAAAATATATCGAGTTATAATATTACGTTAATTATTTGCTATAATAATCAATATAATTTTTACGAATACATAGGATATCAATTTTTCTGATTTATTTAGAAATTAAATATAATTAAATAATTATAGATTTTGATATTTATAAATATTTTTATAATGAAAGAATGTTATTAATTACTCAGGAAAAGATTTATATTTGTATAGAATATTTATATTGATATAGAATATAGAATATGCATGTCTGTGATATATTGAAATATATTTATCTAAAAATGCGAGCACATGAAATATAATTTGACAACAGTCAGTGTGTTCTTAATCCATTTCGTAAAATTGAGTAAAAGGTTGCCGTCAGTTAAAGTGCGAGAACTCACGCGATATTCACGAATCGGTGAGGCAAATGTTTTCAATGTGTGGACATATTAAAAGTTCACAAATAATCATGTGGAAATTTATAATTATCTAATCGAGCAGGACCGAAAGAAACTAATAATCACCTCATTTAATTAAATATATTATAACATTTTAAAACTATTCTCTCTCATTGCTTTCCAAAATTATATTAATTCTATTTGAAATAAATAAATAATACGATTACGGAACTCTGTGA